TGGTCTGCCCACAACAGTGTTTGTTTAGTTGCAGTGCCTGCAATGGCTTGCAAGTCTGAGGAAGGCAAGGTAGAGGACATAAAGGAAGAGACAGAAAGCCAAAAGAGAGAGCCCAGAACCTACCATTTTCATTGGCAGACCATTGCCATCTACCTGAAGTATTGAAAAAGAAAAAACAATTACAGATAAGCACCCCTGAGTAATGAGTCTGCATCAACTGTCACTGGATTCAAGACATGTTGCTTTCCTCCCTGTTTTTCAAAGGCAAAACAAGCCTTATGCTTTCTGGTGTCTAACTCCTCAGAGGCTGCACATTCAAAGTTTATGTAGCCTTACTGACTTACAAAGTAAGATATGTGTAAAAACAGAATAAAAAGAAAGCAAAGAAAGGCAAAAAATAAACCCACCATCAAAAGTCTTACACTGACTTCAGACAGATAATAAATATCTCAAGACTCTAAAGCTGCAAAGGTTGACAGCACCACAGGGGAATGAAATCGAGGTAGTCATCAAAATCCTGCCAGGCCCTTTTGAATCACAGCAACAAAAATAACATCTTACCTGAAGACTTCACAGAGTTAATAAGACACCTGCTTTCCAGGTGATAGTAAGCCCCTAGGACACTTGCCTTTTGCACCCAGATGAGACGTCCTTTGCCCAGGTATAATTACAGCCTCTTCGGGATGGGACCAGGACCACCTCTTCCATAGCAAGTTAAACCTTTCCCAGCCTCTGTCTGGGTTATGCATCCCACGCTGCAAAGGCAAGGGCATGGATTTGCAAGAGATCAGATATGTGCAGGATCAAGAGATGGAAAGAAAGAGGAAAATTAATAAGCGTAGTCTCCAAGGTGGAACCCAGTCCTTGTTTTTGTATGCTTGGGCAGCATAAAAGAGAAAGAGAAGCAAGCTGTAAAAGAATGTAAATAGACCCAGAGCTCCAACTGCTCTTGGGCTTTTGGGGAATTCAGATTTAATAGGAGTAATAAGATATCCTTCCCTGCCACCAGTCAGGGGAAGAGCTCTCTGCACAGTTTTGGAATGCTCATTTAAAGCTCATGTACTTACTTCTATGAGGCAGTGTCTGCTCCTCACTACCTCCCTGGTGGTTTCTCCATGGGAGTCACAGCCCATGGATGGGGACTCGAGGATCCCAAATGGCCTGGAGGCAGATCTCTGCTGTGGGCCTGATCAGCATCTGGTAGTGGTACATAACAGCTACTCCAGATCTTGGGATCTCAGAGGTTCAATAGGACTCTGGCTTGTGCAGCAATGCCCAAGTTTAGTGTTAAATGCCCATGAGAAATGATGAGAACCGGAGTCAAGAACTGACTGTGCAGCTGCAGCACTCAGACCACACTGGTTCTCTGAAGAGTATCTGTGAGAGTGAGCCTAGAGTTTTGCAACTTCACACCACTCTCCCTTTCCCTGTGCCCATTTCAGTTTTTTTCTGCGTTTCTATTGTGATAATCAACTGGCAAGGCATTTTATCTACGTACAGGCTTCTATTTCTCAGGGTTTTTTTTCTGTCCTTGTTCCTTCCTCTTTTTCCCTATGTTTTCCCTCCTTCTTGTTCACTTTCTTCATGTGTAATTAGGAATTGGAGTGGTGCATCTGCTGTTCGAATAAAAGCAGAGAACTCCTAATTTAGGGAATTACAGTTGAGATTAGAAATGGCTGAAATCTGGGGTGTACATTGGAAGATCCCATTTGGAAGTTGGTGAAGGGGCTGGAGAACAAGTTTTATGAGGGGTGGCTGGGGGAACTGGGGTGGTTTAGCTGAGGGGAGACATTATTGCTCTCTACAACTGCCTGAAAGGAGGTTGTAGCAAGGTGGGTGTTGGTCCCTTTTCCCTGGTAACAAGTGATAGGATGAGAGGGAGCAGCTTGAAGTTGTGCCGGGGAGGTTTAGATTGGATATTAGGAAATAATTCTTCCCTGAAAAGGTTGTCAAGCATCGGCACAGACTCTGCAGGGAAGTGGTGGGATCACCATCACTGGAGGCATTTAAAAGACATGTAGATGTGGTGCTTAGGGACATGGTTTAGTGGTGGACTTGGCAGTGCTGGGTTAATGGTTGGACTCAATGATTTTAAAGGTCTTTCCAACCTAAATGTTGCTATGACTCTATGATTTAAAAATATGTTGTTGCTTTATCTGGAAGTAGCCTCTTTACCTGCAGTGGTTTCTGTAGAGATGAAATTCAGTCGGAAATGCCAATCCAGAATACTCCTGAAACCAAGCATGCTGCTCAGGGTGTATGCCAGCTGTAGCTGAATCAGCTGAGAGCCTTGTGCATTTCCACACTGCAGCTGGCGATGTCTGTGACTGCAGAGCTGACTGCCTTGGCACAAGTGCTCCACACCTCTTGGGCTAGCCAGCTCCCAGCATTGCTGCTTTTGGACTTGGGCAGAACAAAAACCTGGGTGGAAAATCTGATGGCCCCTCTCTGAGGGCATGGCTGCACTGGAGACGTGAAATATGGAGGCAGCCTGCCAAGAAAACCTGGAAGAATCTCTGTCAAACCCAAGATGTTTTCCCCAGGCAGTTTATATTTGATGAGTTGGTGGGTTTATGCAAAACTAAAATTTTATGTGAAAATTCCTGATGGATGGAAGCAGAGTGACATGGTGTAGGAGCTGGAATATTTGTGTGAGCCTACTTTAACATAGACTCAAATGTGATTCCCACCACTTGCTTCAGTAAAAAGACAACAGAAGTGATTTATGGACACACCAGTCAGATAAATGCTTGCCACTGGAGAAGTTTAAATTAGAAACCACCTAGTGAGAACCAGCAACAACCAGGCTGGCAGGAGAGAAGGGATGTGAGCTGGGTAGTTACACAATGGAAGACAGGAGATGGATTTGGTATGTCGCACAAACTTGTCCTCTCTTTTCCAGCAGGTTGCACATCAGGTAGGAACTGTGGCCATGTCTGTCAGATTTTGATTCAGACAAAGGTGGTAAGCTTCACATTTCAGAGTGATACGGGGTGTGCAGGGCCTTTGGAAGAATCTGAGACCCCATGGCAAGTCAGGTTTTACTGTTTATGTCTGGGCTAAGAAGATGCAAAAATATTTTTAGAAGAAGGTGACCCCATTTGAGCCCTTAGTCTCTGTATTAGCACCGAGGACAGAGCTCTAAGTGCTTCTTTCACTGACTTGGAGACAGGGTGATTTTATGCCATCCGAGGACTGAGCCTGCTTTATCTCCCCTGCTTTTCTTCTCCTCCTTTCATTTTCTTTTCCATTTCCTAGTACTTTCCCCCCTTGACACTGTGTCTCTTTCTAGTGACTCCTTTTTACTGATGAAGGTCAGTGTGTTCTGAATTGGTTGTTGATTTGTGCTGCCTACAACACCTCAGGGGCCTCCCTGAATCTCATTTTCAGAGGTGCAGAGCAGCTCTTACTGGGTTCCAATGCTGTGATAAGTGCCCAAGTGCCCAACAGCCCTGAAAACCAGGCTCCTTAAAAATGTTCTCAGGCAAGAGACACAGAACAAGTCACTAAATATTAGTGAGCAGTTTTGGAAGTTTATGATCACAGAATGGTTTGGGTTGGAAGGGATCTGAAAGCTCATCCAGTTCCAACCCCTCTGCCATGGGCAGGGACACCTTCCACTAAACCAGGTTGCTCCAAGCCCCATCCAGCCTGGCCTTGAACCCTGCCGGGGAAGGGGCATCCACAGCTTCTCTGGGCAACCTGTGCCAGTGTCTCACCACCCTCACAGTTAGGAACCTTTTCCTAACATCTGATGTAAATCTCCCCTCTGTCAGTTTAAAGTCATTCCACCACGTTCCGTCACTACCTGCCCTTGTAAAAAGTCCCTCAGATTTCTTGTAGCCTCCTTTAGGCACTGGAAGACACAGTAAGTTCTCCCCGAGCCTTCTCTTCTCCAGGCTGAGATAAGCCCAACTCTCAGCCTGTTTTCACAGGAGCGGTGCTCCAGCCCTTGGATCATCTTTGTGGCCTCTTCCAGACTCACTCCAGCAAGTCCACATCCCTCCTGTGTTGGGGGCCCCAGAGCTGAACACGGTACTGCAGGTGGGGTCTCATGAGAGCAGAGTAGAGGGGCAGGATCACCTCCCTTGACCTGCTGCTTACGCTCCTTTTGATGCAGCCCAGCACATGGTTGGTTTCTGGGCTGCAGGTGCACACTGCTGGGTCATGTTGAGTTTCTTGTCACCCAACATCCCAAGTCCTTCTCCTCAGAGCTGCTCTACAGTCTCTGCCCAGCCTGTGTTTGTGCTTCGGATTGCCCTGGCCCCTGTGCAGGACCTTGCACTTGGCCTTGTTAAGCCTTGTTGAAGTTTGGTCTAGGATTTTTCCTTTGGATAAATACTGCTGCCTTTTTTATGTAATAAACACATTTTAGCCTTTCGTTTTTCATTTTGCTCAGGTTTGTTACTTCTTAGGGTTTTGCTTTCCTTTTCTCTTCCACTTGCCATTTTCTCAGCCCCCCCCCCCCCCACTTGTGCTTGTTCTTTCAGCTCTCTTCTACTATTTCTGGCAATGCCCAGTGCTGATTTGCTGAGGCCATTTCTGTGCTCTAGAGAGGTTTCAGGAGTTAATTTAGCCACTGTCAGCAAAAAATCTCAACTTTTTTTGCATTACAATGTCTAGGAAACACATCTAAAGAGATATTCTGTCCCAAAAGAAATAGAAGTTAGAGATAGGCAAAACTGTTTTTCATTAGATGCATGGGATCATGAGGCAGATACTGATAGAAGGAAGGCTTTTTATTTGGGCACATTTTGGCCTGTTCTCTACAGCTTGACAGCAGCAGCAGCACAGGTAAGGTAGGGGAATAGAATTGCCAGTCCCCTTCTCTCCTGCTCCCCACCACCTCAGAGTGCAAAATGTTCATGTAATAATCAGGTCTTTCAGCATCATGCGGAGTCCCTGTTCCTTTGCAACAGCCCTGGGAAAGACATTCCCCCTTGAGTTTCCTGCTGAGTAAGCCAAACACTGACCTGCTGTGGTTTGTTTTTTTCTTACAGGAATGAAACTGTTTTACACCAGTTCTGCTGCCCAGCAGCTGATGCAGAGCAGAAGCCTTCATCTCCAGACTCCTCACCAAGGTGGGAAATTGCTGTCAGCACGACCTTTTCTTTTCCATCCCCTACTTTCTTATCATCCATCACAATCATCCTGCCCCAGACAACACTCACATATTATCACGCCGATCCTCCTCCATCCTCCCTTATGTTCCATGTCCCCAGCACTGCCATCCCTCTCTTTTCCCTCCTAGAGACTACTGTTCATACTGTTGTGTAATTGCTCACAAACCACCTCTGGCCTCTACTCACGTACCTCCAAACCCATACTTTCAGCCTCTCTTCAAACATCTACTTCAATCACCCCACATTCACACTTGTATCTTCTCTTACGTTTCTGCATCACTTTAACACCAGTATATACATGCTTCACTCTTCTCCTTCCAAGTAGTTATCCCACATAAGGTACCTGGACACACACTGGTATAGACCCATAACCTTTAAGCTACAGCAGAAGTCACCAAACAAACTCAGGGTTCTGTCTCACACACTGGGGCATGCAGTTTTACATGTGTTGAAATGGTCTGAGCTTACCTGTGAGGGACAGTTACAGACAGATACTGTTAACTATCACCAGCTTGTATTCAGTGAAGCCCCACCAGCGGTTGTTGTAGCTCTCCCTCATTCGTGAATGACATCAGTGCTGAGGCCAAGGGGTCCAAGGAGCTCCAAAAATACTTGAGATGCACATACTCCATATAGTTTCCATGCTTGGCCTTGCACCTCTCTTCTTGTCATCTCCTTCTCCTCTCACTACTTCTTACACCTCCATCTCACAGACCTACTCCTTCTTCTCAGGCCTCATCACCCTTCTGTCAACAGCAAACAGGTTTCACTTCACAGATTTCCCTCCTCACACTGCTAGACTTTTGCATCTGACCTTTGGCATCTCTATGAGAAGCCTTGTTACTAGGGAGGGCTCTGGATGGATGGATCAGGCACTGAATTGCAGCAGAGAGGCTACAGCATTTTAGAAATTATATTTCTCTTGTTTGTTCTGCTCTCTGGAGCAGGCTGTGGTTTCTGTTTCCTTCCAAGGGAAGTGTGAGTGCTGGACAAGTGCGAAGAGAACGTTGTATATATGGGTGTGCTGAAATACAGGGTTCAGGCACACTTGGAGACAAGGCAAAGAAGCAGGACCACTCCTGACCATTTGTGTATGAAGATGTATGAAGCCCTATGCCATCTGTGCTGAGGGCTTTCAAGCACTGCTAAAGTTTGCATGACAGCCTTGTGGGACATCTGCAGCTGCACCTTTGTGGTAGGTGTGGAGATGCTGGCAAGGAAGAGGAGGAGACAGCAGAGATTTCTGTGGTAGGGACAGCTACCTCTCCCTTGCATTTCTGGGGAGAGTGCTGGTTATGTGCTCCATTCTCTCTGAACCCAGGCTCAATTTTGCCATAGTGTTCTATCATCATACCCTGATCCTTGACCCTGCCCCATTCTTGTCCAGCCTCCATCTTATGTCTGATCAGTTCTCTGAGTTTCTAGCATTATCCTACAATAAGGATACACCTACAGTGTTCTAAGCTGTTACACCTACAGTGTTTTAAGCTCTAGGGTTCTTTTTCTCAGGCTTTTCTTTTTTCCCAGTGACTCCCAAAGGCCCTCCCCATAGCTTGAACCTGAGTTTTCCTGCCCTCCTTGTGCTGGGAACCACCACATTTCTCAGCTGGGGTTTGGCAGGTAAATTAAAGAGAAAGCAAATTGTTTCAGTAACTTAACAACTTTGGCAAGTTGTTTAGTTGTTCAGTAATACGACAACTCTTGCAACAACACATGCAAAGGTGAGTCTGAGCCAGGAAACTCAGGAGTGGAGATGAATGATCATGACCCCTTTCATCTGGGGCTCCAGTTAAGTGATTTCTCATACCTATCTATGCCTGTCCCTTTTATGTCTTTTGTAGCTTGTACCACTCTGCAGGCCCCCTGCTTTACTTAGGTTTTTCCCCAAGGCTTTCTCTTGTCCTTTACATTTCTAGTGCCCTGAGACCCCAACAGCAGTCCTGAATCTGTGTGTGACACAGTGTTCTATGTAGAGTCATAGAATGGTTTGGGTTGGAAAGAACCTTAAAGCTCACCCAGTTCCAGCCCCCTGCTGTGGGTAGGGACACCTTCCACTAGACCAGGTTGCTCTAAACCCCGTCCAACCTGGCCTTGAACACTGCCAGGTATGGGGCAGCCACAGCTTCTACAGGCAACCTGTGCCAGTACCTAGCCACCCTCACAGTAAAGAACCCCTTCCTATAGAGACAGAGGCGGTTGAAGCCACCGTGGCTGTTTGAAGGTGAGAAACAGGTACACAGGATTTTTGCTTTTTGAAACAGAGCAGCTTTTGTATGCAATCTCCCTATGCCACTGGCTCAGGTGAGAAGAGCATCCCTACTTCCCACACTGTGCAGAAGAAAGGCAAGCACATGCAGGACTTGTAAACTCACCGGTCAGCATTATGCTGGCCAGAAAATACATTCAAACCTGTGACAGGTTCTGCCATCACCTACGGGTTTCCTTCATATCTGAAGTTAGAAACACAGTGCAGCAAGGAGGGTAAAAAAGTGGCAGAGAGGGAAAAACACAGGGTCACTGTGGAGCTGACATCCATAGCCGATAGCTATGCTGCTCTGGAATGGCTCAATATGTTGCTGGAAGAGGCTCATCAGATCATTTACAGAGCCTGTCACCCTGCTCAAATCATGAACAGGCTCCCCTTTGACCCAAGGCAGAACAAAAGTCAATCAGGACTGAAATATGTGGGTCAGACAGCCTGAATAGGCAATCAGTTCCTGGGTGAGTGAGGCACATGCCTAAATAAGCTCATCAGGGCTCCCGATGTGAGAGCCTGGGATGCTGGGGCTCCCTGTGCAGCTCTCCTGAGCCCCGCTGAATGGACAGTCAGTCACAAGTGATGCTGTGGTGAATTTGATAAACCAGCTAGGGTTTATTCTTTCTTTTCTTCTTCCATGATGAGGCGTTTCCCTAAATGAGATAAATCCTGTCAGAACTGATGCCACTAATAACCATCAGCAGTCTAGTTTTAATTAGAGTTTGCTTCATTAATGCCCCAACTCCTCTCTGCGCAGCAGATTAAATAATGTACTTTCAGCTCATTTACACAAACCCCCAAACTGCAAGGCTGAGCTGCAATCCTTTAATTAAACAGCCTGGCTGATCCCTACCGCTGCCTCGGCTCATCAGTCTAAGCCGATTAAAGAGAATAGGGACTAATAAAGAGCATAAACAGGGAAGTGACTCTCGTCTCTTCAAGGGACTCGGAGACTCCAGTGGTGATCAGCTGCTCTACCAGAAACCTTGCCTCAGCCCACTTCACTTCCTTCTGGGACGTGCAAGAATGGTCCTGCTTTCAGAAATCCTTTTGGAGACTGAGAGAACTTGAGCAGCAAGAGGGTAACACAGTGGGGAAGGTAGAGGATAAAGAGGGGCATAAAGGAGAAAGAAGAGTGACTGACTGACTGACTGCAGGAGAGACCAGCAAAAGCAGCCACACAGCTCAAATGTGGGACAAAGAAGGAGAAGGAAGCACAAGGCATAACAGTAAGGGGTTTGCTGTCAGGATCAGTCTTGGACAGAAGTTTGTCTCTGCTTGTAGTTTGTGATGGTCATTGTTGTTTTGGTGTGGTCTTCCTTAGTGTTTGTCCTGCAAGATTTCAGATGCTTTCTTTGCTGCCCGTCAAGCTAAAAATGGCTTGGCTTCACCTGGATGGGAACGGTTAGGAACATGTCAGTGTCTAACCACTCAACAGAAGCCAATTCAATGAGGCAGTTTCAATTATTCCCATTTGTATGTTCTGCTCTGCTTCACTGACTGCCACAAGCAATTCTAGCCCCCTTTGTCCTCCAGCATGTGAATTCCTTGTAGGGGGGTTACAGCTCCATGACTTTAGCAATGTGAATTTCACATCTGGCTGCTTAGCTGGGTTGCACCAGCAACCAGCAAGACTGGTGCTGTAGGCCATGAATATTAGGAAACAGATTTGATCTCAGAATCTGTCCCCATGAAGCTCAGAGCCAAAGTACAGTATGAGGTGGTGGCAGTAGCGGGCATATTCCTGTTGCTGAACTCTTAGGACTTCCCCATTTCAAAGCATAGTGTAAATCCTGGACATGGACCACTATTGTCTCCACTGGACTTGTACACCTCTGGCTTCATGACCGTAACCTATCTTGAAGGTTGGGCTTCCACTGAGGATGCCAAAGATCAGGTTGAGGGGAATGAGGAGACTCCATGGATGGCAGTGGGAGCTAGCCCTGCTCCTTTATTGAGGTTCTGATTAGAGTCTGATTCAGCCAAACCCTATAATTTCATAAAGCAACTGCTCTTTTTCTTGCTGGCTTCTGCCTGTTAACGGCAGGGTTTCATTCTAGGGATTTGAATAGCCTAGTAATTGCATTTCCCACTTCTCCCAGTCTCACACAGTGGAGACTGGCATCCCAGAATAATGACCTTAAATGTGTCCAGCAGCAGCCCAGCTCTAACGGGATTACATACCATTTTCCTTTGTGTGAGGTAATAGGGCTGAGATGAGAAAGATTTGTTTCTATTAGAGTAATGAGAGGAAATGATGGAGTCACAATTGGAAGGAACAGTATATTCATTCAGTTGCCTTTCATAGGCTTTTCGGAGCCTGCCTCTGGCTTGCCTGCAATTTTGAATAGGAAATCAGCAGAAAATCACCCCTGATCCAGGGATGGGAGAAGTTCTACATAAAACTTCAAGCACTCAGGGCAGGTCCACTCTGGCAACGGACACAGGGATAGGATTGGAGGGTTTAAAGATCATGTCACAGAGGAGACCGGATGGGATCTGCATGCATTTGTATGAAGGGCAGGATCAGATCCCAGCTGGCTCTTTGGGAAGGGAGGATGTTCCACCTGCATTTGTAGGATAGAGAAGGTCTTTCCTATCTGGAAGAAGTGCAGATCAGACCTGACCAGCGGGTCATGTTTTAAGACAAATGAGACATAGTTCTCCCAGGAAGAGAAGGTGTCAGGGATCTGAACAGAGT